AAATGTGCCAAGGAAACTTGAGGTCAGAATTTCTTTGGCCTTGGGGCGCCTGGGTGGCTCGGATGGTTGAGCGTCTGCCTTCGGCTCAGGTCATGATCCCAGGGTCCTGGGATGGAGCCCCGCATCGAGCTCCCTGCTTGGCGGGGAGCCTGCTTCTCCCTCTCCCTCTACTGTTCCCCCTGCTTGTGCTCTCTCACTCTCTCTATCAAATAAATAGATAAAATCTTAAAAAAAAAAAAAAGAATTTCTTTGGCCTTGAATCCAAAGGATCTGGGTTAAACTCAGCTGGGCTTAAGAACTCCATAACAGAAACTTGCCTGGATCATTTTATTTGGCTCCCTGCAAAGATGTGAAGTAGAGGTATGGGACCAGGCCATCTTATCTCACCTCCCCAGAACCCAGGGCCACACTGATGGTAGAACAGGAGAGACTCCTAGAGATGATCTAGTTGAAGGGCCTTGTTTTATGCATGAGAGGCTCAGAGAAGTTTAGGTCACGAGCCTAGCAAACAGCACCATGGGACTGGAGCTCCCATGTCTCCCACCAAGGCTAATGGTTACTGGATGGCCACTCTACCCACCTCCCCCAAAGCCTATCCTCCCCACCCACCCAATGCTCCTATTCAATACCAAGTTCAGCAGAGGCCAGGGGCAGGGTGAATTTCCCTGAGCTAAAGAATGACAGATACCTACATAAGAAAGCAAGCCAACACAGCTTCTGATAAACGTGGTCCCCTCTTTCCAACAAGCCAGCATGACAGACAACATGCACCTCTCCAAGAATGTCACGGTCACCCCCACATAGCATGTGATAGGGGCCTAGTGCTTCATTCTAGGTTAGGCAGAATTTTCCACAGCGTCAGTCCCCCAAAGAATGATGTCCTCATAGCAAACAGCATTGTGAGGAACATTCACACTAGCAAGACATTTGGTACGTAGCCTTTAGATGGTGCTAATGTTCTACCATAACATAGCCTACAAGCACTCGAGGCTCAGAAATCAAGGAAGTGGAAGGGAGCTCAAGGGGCTAGCTGTAGTTCAACCGTTCTGTCCTGTGTTGGGCCCTGAAAACACCCCCCCACACACACACACACTTTGGGAGGTATCTTGATACCAAGACAGTTCTGGGGCTTTCACTGCCACAGCAAAGTCTTGGCAATGTTGAATGTGCCAGACTATTCTAGGCAGGTCTCATGCCATCCAGGGAGTACCATCAGTCAGCACTTTAAATGTGAAGTGTCTTTGTGCATCGACCAGAGCTTGTGGTGATCTCAGTTCCTAAGGTCCGATTGTGTCCCTAGATTGGGTGATGGAGCCATTCATTTCGTGTGACAGTTTTCTTCAGGAAACCCTCTTTCATTCACTTAAGAAAGGGCTGGTGAAACCTACCATCATTCATTTTTTTTTTTTTTTCTGGCTCTGAAAAGAGGAGTGGGGAAAAACACATCACCCCGGAGCAACCTTTCTAAAGCAGGCTTTTATGTCTTAGTTCTTCTCTTTTCCACATGATGTGAGTTCCGAAGGCTCTATTTGTCTCATAGTGCCACCACAAGGGACAATGTTTTGCTATGCAGTTTTTCTCTGCCAGTGGAGTGGATGACAGGCTGTGTCACGGTCGCCCTGAGAAGCCCTAGACATGGTTGAGGTTTTCTATGTAGAGAAGAAAATAACTCCTTGCCCATTCACATGGATGGTTCCACACCCGTGGGAGCTGATAGGGGTTTCCAAAATAAGACATCACACTTAGTATTTATACACGTGGTGCTGATGGGTTTGTGTGTGTGTGTGTGTGTGTGTGTGTGTGTGTGCACGCGCGCCCACCTTGAGTACAGGAAGACTGAGGATCAGGGAGACGTGAAAGTCAGGAGGGAGCTAAAGTTCCCATCCAGATCATCAGGTGAAAACAAATTTGGGAGAGTCACGATACCATTATTCTAATACACCGAAATCCTATTACAGTGGGAAAAAAAATCAATTTATCCAGAAAGATCATGTAAGGAGCAAAATTAGAACCAAAGGGATGGAAATTGTTGGAAGATAGATTTCAATTAGACTGCAGCAAGAAATTTTTTTAGTTTTTAAAATTAAAATAAAAGATTCTAACTTACAGAAGCATTGCAAGAAAAGTACATTGTTCAGACGCTGTTCACCTAGATTCTTCAGTTGTTAATATTTTGCCACATTTCATTTATTTCTCTTTCACTCATATATGTGTTGATATTTTCCTGAACTTTCTGAGAGTAAATGGCATTATAATATCCATATATTCCTAAATATTTCATCATGGGGTTCCAAAGAATAAGGACACTGTCTTGCATAACCAGAGTAAAATTATATACTTCATATTCAAATTTCAGCAAGTGTCCCAATGATGTCCTTTGTAACAATATTTTTTCCTCTGATTCAGGATCCATTAAGATACATTACTAGTGATGTTAATAAGGATGAACTTTTTAAGATTTAGGATTTTCAAAGAAAAGCAAAGCGGGAGGTATCACAATTACAAACTTTAAGTTATATTACAAAGCTGTAGTCATCAAAACACTATGGTACTGTCACAAAAATAGACACATAAATCAATAGAACAGAATAGAAAACCCAGAAATGAACCTACAGTTATATGGCCAATTAATCTTCGGCAAAACAGGAAAGAATATCCAGTGGGAAAAAGAATGTCTCTTCAACAAATGGTGTTGGGAAAACTGGACAGCAACATGCAAAAGAATGAAACAGGACCAATTTCTTACACTTTACACAAAAATAAATTCAAAATGGATCAAAGACCTAAATATGAGACCTGAAACCATAAAAATCCTAGAGGAAAACATAGGCGGTAACTTCTTTGACATCAGCTGTAGCAACCTCTTTCTAGATATGTCCTCTAAGGCAAGGGAAATAAAAGCAAAATAAACTATTGGGACTGCAACAAGATAAAAAGCTTTTGCACAATGAAGGAAACAATCAACAAAACTAAAAGGCAACCTACAGAATGGGAGAAGATATTTGCAAAGGACATATCTGATAAAGGGTTAGTATCCAAAATCTATAAAGAACTTATAAAACTCAACACCCAAAAAATGAATAGTCCAGTTAAAAAATGGGCAGAAGACATGAGCAGACATTTTTTCCAAAGAAGATATCCAGATGGCCAACAGATAGATACATGAGAAGATGCTCAACATCACTCCTCATCAGGGAAATGCAAATCAAAACCACAATGAGCTATCAGCTCACACGTGTCAGAATGGCTAAAATCAACAGCACCAAAAAACCACAGGTGTTGGTGAGGATGTGGAGAAAGGGGAGCCCTCTTGCACTGTTGGTGGGAATGCAAACTGGTGCAGCCACTCTGGAAAACAGGGAGGTTCCTCAAGAAGTTAATAGAACAACCCTATGACCCAGCAATTGCACTACTAGGTATTTACCCAAAGGATACAAAAACACTAATTCAAAGGGATACATGCACCCCAGTGTTTACTGCAGCATTGTTTATAGTCACCAAATTATGCAAGGGGCTCAAGTGACCAGGGATTGGTGAATGAATAAAGAAGATGTGGTGTATAAATATACAATGGAATATCACTCGGCCATAAAAAAGAATGAAATCTTGCCATTTACAACGACATGGATGGAGCTAAAGAGTATTATGCCAAGAGAAATAAGTCAGTCAGAGAAAGATAAATACCATATGATTTCACTCATATGTGGAATTTAAGAAACAAAATAAATGAGCAAAGGGGAAAAAAAGAGAGAGAGACAAGCCAAGAAATGGACTCTTAACTATAAAGAACAAACTGATGGTTACCACAGGGGAGGTAGTGGGGGGATGGATGAAAGAGATGATGGGGATTAAGGACGGCACTTGTCGTGATGAGCACTGGATGATGTATGGAAGTGTTGAATCACTCTATTGTACACCTGAAACTAATGTTACACTGTATGTTAACTAACTGGAATTTAAATAAAAACTTACAAAAGATTTAGGAGTTTCAAAAATGAGAGGGGCTGTATCAAATAGCAAATTCTAAATATCAGCTTGGCAAGTGTATCATATACACCTTACCAACTCAGGGCATATGACAGAATAAATAACCTATTTAAATAAATAACCTAAATCATCAAAAACTTGTTCAGGCTTTTTGTGTCCTGTGTGTGAAATTTGCCTGCCCCGAAGTCATGAAAATCTCCTCTTATGTCTTCTGGAAGCCTTACAATTCTACGTTTTGCATTGAGGTTTATAATACACCCCAAATAGGGGCGCCTCACTGGCTCAGTCGGTAGAGTATGTGACTCTTGATCTCAGGGTTCTGAGTTCAAGCCCTGTGTTGGTAGAGAGATTACTTAAAAATAAAACCTTTTAAAAAATACATCCCAGGGGATGAGCCACCCTGGTGGCTCAGTCGGTTAAGCGTCTGCCTTCAGCTCAGGTCATGATCCCAGGGTCCTGGGATCGAGCCCCACATCGGGCTCCCTGCTCAGTGGGGAGTTTGCTTCTCCCTTGCCATCTGCCCCTCCCTTACCTACTTACCTTCTTACCTACAGATCTCTAGAATCAAGAGGAACTCCAAGCCACGCAAGGCCACATGCAGAATTACCAGGGTCAGTCAAGAGGCAGAAGTGAGGTGGAGACGTGGGCCAGAGCTTTTACTGTGGTTTTCACAGGAAGGAACGGGCGGGGCAGGGTAGGCAAACAGAGGGGACTTAGGATTGAATAGTTTGAATAGTTTGGGCAGGCTCTGGGCTATAACGGTGATCGCTAGTTGTCTGATACCTGACTCTGGGGTGATTTAGGGTAATTTAGGGCAGAGGTATAGTGTCCTGGACGGCAAGGAGCCTGTTAAAAGGAAGGGGATGGTGGGTACGGACTCAGGATTGGTTGGTTTGCAGCAAGTTGTTTGCTCTCTCTAGGAATTAGCTAACTCTAGGAAAGGCAGTCCCTCCCCAAAGACTCAATGCCCCAAGATGTCAAAGCATCCGAAAATAGAGAAAATAAAAAACACAGTGTTTAGGCAGCACGTGTACTAAAATTGGAACGATCCAGAGAAGATTAGTATGGTCCCCGCACAAGGACGACACACAAATTCGCTAAGCGTTCCGTATTTTTAGATGAAGGTTTTCTTCACCAAAAAAAAAAAGAAAGAAAGAAAAGAGAACGCATTGATTAATAAACCCTGAAACTCTCACCCAAGATGAAGTGGGCAGTTGTTGGGAAGTCCTCCATTTTGTGGTCAGCAGTCATCTGAGACTTAACCAAGCACACCGATTTCAGGTCCTAATATAATATTGCATAGGGTTTCTGATCTGAAATTATTCATCTATCATATTGGGTGGGGCCCCGCTTGGGTCTTCTGATTGTAATTCCCTTTTGTATAACCACCAGCAATGCCCTACATTAGAGCCCATTACATCATGCATGGGTAGAATTTTGAACCCTGTGCTCTGGCCTCATTGTGCCGTTCATCTCTTTTCTCTTTCTAAGTCCCATATGCCTTATGAGTTGCTCTTCTGTTCTTACTTTATTGGCTTCTTCATACAACAGCTAATTGTCGAGGGCTTGCTGTGTGCCTGACACCGTTCTAAGTGCTGGGGACACACCAGCCAACAAACCAGACAAAAATTCCTGGCCTTGCGGAGCTTTAATTCAAACAAGAAGACAGACAACAAGCAAGGCGCGGGACAAATGGGTTAATCGGTTAGTGCGTCTGAAGTTGGTAAGTATTATGGAAAAAAGAAAAAGTAGGGCAAGGTCAGGGGCATTGAGAATGCCGGCAGGGGTGTGAGAGAAATTTGAAATAGGGCGGACAGGGGAGCCTCACAGAGAAGGGAACATTTGAGCAAAGGCTTCACAGTTACTAACGGAGTGAGATGATTGTATCTGAAGATCAAGGCTATGGTTCAGGTTAGATGAAGGCACAGTAGGAAGAAGAGTAGGGAGAGAAGGGACATGTGACCTACAGATGAGGTGAGACGTTTAGTGCTGGGGTGGCCTGTGTGTGAGTTGCCCTGCACATTCTGCAGGGTATGGGGTGCTGGGCCCTTAGAAGTGCTGGACTGGGGTGGGCAAGATGAAGGCCAGACACAGACACGTGTATAGCAGTCTTCGTCCCAGAAAGGATGAGCGGAAGCCACAAGAATGAGCAAACTTAAAAGGAGATCCTGGGAACATCCATATTTAAGGCACAGGTTGGAAAGAGGAAACTGAAGGAGACATCTGAGTGGTTTCAGCCTGAGATGCTGGGGCAGGACCAAGGAATAAAGGAACCAAGGAAGCAGAGATTGGAGAGGATCCAGGGGATGGGGAGTGGTGCATCACCCCCCCCCCCAAGGATTGCATGAGGATCGGGAAGTTTGGTGGTGGTATGGGGGAGTCTTTTTGGTGACCTTTCAATATAGAAGCTTTAGGCAAACTTTTGTGAATCTACAAGGATTCAGGAAATATTATTCCCATGAGCCTTTTCTGAAAAATCTACCAGACAATAAGCTTCAGAAAACCAATTTAAAAAATGATCTAAGACTAAAATTGTGGTAACAAGGGAGAAAGTAGGGGTGCCTGGTTGGCTCAGTCGGTTAACCATCTGACTCTTGATTCCAGCTCAGGTCATGATCTCATGGGTCGTGAGATCGAGCCCTGCATTGGGCTCCACACTTAGTGAGGAGTCTGCTTGAGATTCTCTCTCTCTCTCTCCCTCTGCCCATCCCCCTGCTTGCACATGTTCTCTCTCTCTCTCTCAAATAAATAAATCCTTTGAAAAAAAAGAAGGGAGAAAGTAGTTTGTAATGGTTATGTCTGACAATGTAAATATAGTACATAATAATAATAATGAATGAAATAATAATTTCTAAGCTCAAATCTAGAATACTTGACTCCAAATCTCTTGCTTTTTATTGCTTCACATGTTAAGTTCAGAGACTTATCTCTTAAGAAGTGGTATAATGATTGTCAGTCTGGTCCTTATAAAGAAGGAACGTCTAAAGATGAGGACAGGTAGGATTATGATCAGGATTGTCATTCCCAAAGAATGCCGAAAAACTAATCATGGAAGGTGGAGGAGGTCGAGAGGAGCCAAAGGGATAATTACTATCTTGAAATATATAATACGATTTTTGTGGGGATGAACTGGGTCATTTTTCTTAATTTTTTTTTAGGAGACAGAAGTACAGTAATAGATTTAGTTAAAACTGCAGGCATTTTAGGGGTGCCTGGGTGGCTCAGTCGTTAAGTGTCTGCCTTCGGCTCGGGTTGTGATCCCAGGGTCCTGGGATCGAGCCCCACATTGGGCTCCCTGCTCCACGGGAAGCCTGCTTCTCCCTCTCCCACTCCCCCTGCTTGTGTTCCCTCTTTTGCTGTGTCTCTCTCTGTCAAATAAATGAAATCTTTAAAAAATAAATGCAGGCATTTTAGATCTGCATTAGAAGGAAAGTCTTTTTTTTTTAAGAGCAGAAAACACTGGAAGAGGCCTCCAGTGGAAAAGATTGGGACTCTCTGCTTAAGGAACCTTGAATTTGAGAGAGGTTGAGGCAATTCCCCGGCCTTGAGGTGAACACCAGACAAGATGGTTGATTTCCTAGGACCTCTCTTAATTCTAATGAGAGGACAAGATTCTGAGCACAGGGTAGAGAGTGTGTCACGGGTCATGGTCCAAACCCCAAACGGTTGTTGTTTCTGACAGTCACTGGGTAATTGGGAGAGCTCATCAGGCCAAGTGCGATGGAAAGCTTGGGTATTAAGCATTTGGAAAGTGAATGCTTCTTGCTCTGAAGGGATGAGACAACACAATGGAAGAAAACGCCCATGTTATTTTTCCAGTCTTGAAGGAAGCAGTTGGAGTTGTCAGACCATGTTTTGGGTTTCTACTCTGATTCTGTCATGTACTCATGGAGTGACCTTAGGCAATTTACTGAACTGCCCTGAGCCTCAGTTTTCCTATCTGTAAAATGGGCATAACAATACCTCTGCCAAAGGGTGTTTAGGAAGACTAGATGAGGGAATGTAAGGTGGGCCTACACATGACAGACACTCAGTTAATGAGATTCTCTGTCCTCCAAGCAAACTATGAAACAGGCTGCATTTGATCTGAGATGTTTTCATGCTGCCAATTAACTGGCCTGAGTGACACCTCCCTAGGATCTACCTTTTTTTTTTTAAGATTTTATTTATTTATTTGAGAGAGAGAGAGAGAGAGTGAGCACAAGATGGGGGAGGGTCAGAGGGAGAAGCAGACTTCCTGCTGAGCAGGGAGCCCGATATGGGACTCCATCCTGGGACTCAGGGATCATGACTTGAGCCTAAGGCAGACGCTTAACCAGTTGAGCCACCCAGGTGCCCTAGGATCTACCTTCTTAAGAACGTGCCCTCTATGCCTACATTTGCTCTCCCCCACCATATTCATATCTGTACCCCAAATAGGCATTTGAGTGATCCTTCAACAGATGTTGGGTGGATAAGACATGCTCTGGTTCTCAATGACAAGAAGAAAACAGAAATGAAGAGACCATTATAAAACACCATGAAAGTACCACGAGAGGTGTTGAGAGCCACCAGCAGACCTTATGGTACCCTTAGGGTCATAACATGCTTGGCAAGGTGGCAGGTGGTAAATCTGAGCTATAAGTTGAGCTTTCTGCTGGCCTGGCTGCACTTTGATTGGGTGGGTGCTCCTGGGGACAGGTGCCTCCCTACTGTTAACTCCAAAGAAGTGGCTCTAACGTTATTGGTAGTGATTGATGCTTTGGGGCTAATTGGGTACTTTCTTATTCTCAGATTGCCCTACTTGGCCCCTTACTGCACGTAAGATGCATATGGTTGCAATCTCTCCAGGGCCATCTAACCGTTTCATCTTAGAAAGAAGCATTCTAAGAGATTTTGTGAATTCCAGCTCTGTCAGCAGAGGGGGGCACCCAGGGGCCCAACGCCAATGTCTGGCTACCATAGCTCTAGCTGTGTTTTGATTCTTTAGTAGGTGTTGTGGAAGATCATTTAGATAAGTGACTTATGGTTGGCTGGGGGCTAAAAGATCACAAATTCTTCCCCTCCCATCAAGAGGGGTAGTCTAATTTGCACCCCTTGAATTTGGGTTGGCCTTGTGATTTGCTTTGGCTAATAAGAAGGTAGCAAATAGGATGCGAAGAGAAGCTTGAAAAGTGCTTGCTCTTTCAGCTAACCCCATTCTAGACCAGCCAGCCCACAGCCAACCAGCATCGGACCCTAGACCAGGGGTTGGCAACTACAGTTTGCTAGACAGCTGCCTGGTTTTGCAAATAAAGTTTTATTGGAAAATGGCCATGCTCATTCATTCATGCACTCTCTGTGGCTTCTTTAGTCCTATATTGGCAGGGTTGAGTAGTTGTGACAGAGACTCTATGGCCCACAAAACCTAAAATATTTACTATTTGGACCTTTTCAGAAAAAGTTTGCAACCCTTGCCCTAGACATGTGAGAAAGCACAGCCAAGACCAGCAGAAGAACCTCCCAGCCTGTCCTGGCCCAAATTGCCCATCCATAGAGTTATAAGCTAAACAGTGATTGTTTTAAGCAACCTAATTTTGGAGTAGCTCGTGATGTAGCAAACACTAACTGGTACAGTCATATAAGGGTTTCTTTTTTTTTTTTTTTTTGTAGTTTTTAAT